TATATATGTGTGTGTGTGTGTGTGTGTGTGTGTGTGTGTGTGTGTGTGTGTTTTGGCACATATTTGTGTGTGTCTAACTGTCTATCTATATATGTATATATATGCATGTGTGTGTTTGGCAAAGAAATAAGATGATTTTTTTTTTTAGTTTGGCAATTATATTATTTTAGTTGTAATAAGAAGCTATTTTTATGTTTTTCATGATGACGTATGAATGGGATGGGCAATTAAAATTTTAGAGTAACTTAAAATTGGATTTTTTGCTAATTGGATTTAAATCAATTCAAATAATATGAAATTAATAATATCTCATGATGATAATTTAGTTTTTTTTAGTTATGGCAAAATGTAAGTAAAAACATTTAAGACAAGGCACATGTTTGTGGGGTTCTAACTCAACGTCGAATTTTGTTTGCAAGTACTGGGTCAATGTTTGGAAGCATTCTTTTTTTGTTTTTATTGATTCTTCAAAACAAAATTGTATTTATTACACTTTTCAAATCACTTTTTTAAAATAATTTCAAAAGTTTTTCTCTCTTAGACATGATGTGACGATTACAATAAAATGATTTGACTGCTATAGTTTAAAATGTCTTCACTAAAAAACAAATAAACATCACTTCATCTTTCAATTTTTTCTTCAAAGATACTTATTTCTAACACCTTTAAACATGATTTGACTGCTACAGTGTATTTTGTCTCCTTCCAAAATACAAGCAAACATTACTTTCATTCTCAAATTCTTTCCCCAAAACATATTTCCTCAAAATGAAATCAAAATAACATCCAAAACGCTTTCAAACATTGCCTGAGTTTTCCATGACTTCATAATTGAAGTTCTGGTTAGTTTAATTACTCCAAAATTAAAAAATTAAAAATAAAAAAATAAAAAATAAAAAAGGAAAAAAAAAACGTGACTAATATCCTAGTTAGGTACAATGTATTATTACAATTAATTACCATAGCCAATCACAAGAATCTAATTAGTTTCCAAATAAAATATACATTGGCATGAATTGAAGCAATCAACCAAATTTGCCCACTTTCCTTATAATTATTCCTACATTTCAAAATTAAATTATTCCTAGCCGTTACATTTCTTGAAATTTTAATACAAATAATCCACCATGAAACCAAGAATATAATCTCCCATTAGATTTTCTCCATAGCTTCTCATAAATAAATCTTTGCAACAATATATATAAATATATATATAATCAATTAATTCATATGAATTCAAGCCGTTGTGCTGCATGCAAACATTTAAGACGAAGATGCCCCTCAGATTGCATATTCTCACCTTATTTCCCATCCAACAATCCTCAAAGATTTGCTTTTGTTCACAAGATCTATGGTGCTAGTAACGTTGGAAAGATTCTCCAGGTAAATTATTATATAATTAATTCCAATATTCCATATTTTATTACATTATTTGTATATATACATATAATTTATTTATTTTATGAAAAAAAATAAAAGGATCTCCCGGTGAATCTAAGATCGAAAGCAGCTGATACGCTGTGCTACGAGGCTTCGCGCAGAATAGAGGATCCCGTGTACGGTGTTGTCAGAGAGTTAACTAATTTGGATGAAGAGATACAAAAAGCGCACTGCCAACTCGCAAGAATCCGAGCTCAAATTGCGGTAATTCAAGCTCGCGATGAAGTTGATAATGTCAATAATCCCAATTTCTTCCCGCCCCAAAACGATGTATCTAATTCCACTTCATTTAATTATGATCTTTCGGCTTGGTTCGATTAGGGTTAGTTAGTATCTCAATTTAGTAACGCGTTTTTTGTTACTATTGTAATACTGATCGATTATATTTCTTCAGGACGATATAAATTCATTTGAGAAAAAGATTCAATAAAGTCGATACTAGCTAGTAATCGAAATATTTAAATACCGTGTTATTTAATTACCGCAAAACCCCTCGTGTTAAAAAATTTAGCAAGAACCATTCCTTCTATAAAAGTAAGTCAAAGCTAGAAACACTCTGCAAGCTGATCGTGCAGTACACTCACCATCTATGCGTGTGGGGGTGAGTTTTTGAACTGAAAACCTTACAGATTCACCCCAAAATCTTATAAGCCCCGATTTTTTTTATTAATTGAGTCCCTAATATTTTCTAAAAAGGCCTCTTCAACGTGAAGATGAGTGGGTGTGACAATTGAATCTCAAACTACTAAAAGAATAGATATAGATAGATGGTCCTGTAATCTAATAATTGATTCATAAATTCCGAGATTGAACTAGTGGACTCAAGTTAGGCAATCAAAAAGTCAACACATTATTACATATGAATCATTTAACCATGATATATACAAGGCCATCTCTTGTTGATGGGACGGGTGGGGTAGGGTCGGGCTAAGGTGTTTAGTGAGTAGGGGGTGGGGTGAATTGAGCCGAGGCATAAGCCCTAGACTCTCACGCGCCTCTCCCTCGTGAATTTTCACGTTTTGCTTCTCTTTTTTTATTTCTTTTTTTCTTTTTCCTTCTCTTTCAGGGTCTTTCTAGGGTGAGATACCCCATGTTCTAAACTTTTATGAGATATGCATTAGTCACCATTAATTTTCTAAGATTAAATCTGGACCCTAGGAAAATAACATGGCTTATGTTCTAAAAAATGAAGTACTTTACCAAATTATCCTTCGATTTTTTTTATTTATTAAATTAATATAAAATTGATTAACATTGAATTGTCTAATTTACCCCCTACTATATTTTAATTAAATAATTAATTTAAATTCATTGTAACTGAGTTTTATTTGATAAATAATCGAAAAAAATGCATTCATTGGAAATCGAACTTGTGACCTCTTAATACATTTATCACTCATAATCATCCAAGCACATTAACTTATTAAGAAATATTTAACCATACTTGTATAAATACTGTTAATGCAAATATTAATTGCAACATTCATTATTATTAAATGGTATTAAATAAATTATTAACAAATTTAATAAAATAAAGTGTGAAAAATATAAAGAATTGCAGTTCAATACGCCAAACATCTATCATTAATTATATAATATTAGAAGTATTAATAAAATCCACAATTTAAAAATGTAAAGAATGCTCAATTAAATAAAAAAAAACGCATAACTTAATTCAAACTCACTTATGTTATTTAATCGATAGTGTGGCAAATCCAAATAAAAAATAAAATAATATGTTTATTTAGAAGAAGAAAAAATTATAACTCATTCCAATTAGTAGTTTTCTTACTTTAAAATAAAATTATATACTACAAATACTATATTGTGAATTTTCTTTTAATATTTAATTTAATCAACTAGTACGATTTGAATCGATGAAGTACAAACCCTTTCAATTAGAAAAAAATATTCAAATATTTGAATCGGTTGCTTAACTATTGACATAACATGTTACAAAATTGATTTAACTATTTATAAGTAATGTCTAATATCTTTTTAATTCAATTTTGTCATAAAAATAATAAATTTAATTCCTAACACATGTAAGAACCTAATCGTAAATCATAATATTTTATCAAAGCGTAATATTTGAACCAATTAAGCTCAAGTCCTTTCAATTCGTAAACATTATTCAAATATTTTAATCGATTCATTAGCGCGCTCAACTATTGACAAGAACGTCTTAATCAAATTAACTATTATTAATTAAAGTGTAATACATTTTTAATTCAATTTTATCATAAAAAAATAATTCCTAAATTACGCAAGAATCAAATCATAAGATTAATTAAAGCGTATGATTTGAAACAATTAAGCGCAAATCCTTTTAATTTGTAAATATTATTCAAAAATTTGAAACGATTAAGTTCAACCACTGATAAGAACGTATTAATCGAGTTAACTATTTATAATTAAATTCTACTATCCTTTTAATTCAATTTTAACAACAAAATAATAATTTAATTCGTAAAATCGTAAAAATCATATCGTAAATCGTTTGATTTAATCTAACCATGAACCGATTAAATCTTACGATTTTTACGAATTAAATTTTATTATTTTTTATGATAAAATTCAATAAAAAAAAGGTTACTAAACTTTAACTATACACAGATTGATTAATACGCTATTGTAAATTATTGAGTTTAACCGATTCAAATATTTGAATATTGTATACGAATTGAAATGAGTTGAGCTTAATCGATCAAATCTTTGAATATTGTTTTTGAATTGAAAACACATGAGTACGTTTGATTGATTCAAATATTACGATTTAATTAAATCTTCCAATTTACGATTCAATTCAAACTTCAAATTCTTTCGAAACTCATTTTTAAATTACACGAGTTGAACAACATTTCCTTAGATTTTTAAATTATATCATATAAAGATTTGTTAGTATGGGATATTTTTAATATATAATAATAATAATTATATGAGAATTAATAATTTTTTTAACATTATTTATATAAGTTTTATAACCATTATAAATTGTAGCTTTGTGATATATATCCGTATTGTTAGTTTATTGTCAATTATGTGTTGTCTTAATGGTAAGTATTCTTGTGTGTTTTCAGATGGTCACGAGTTCGAATTCAGGTTGATGCAATTTTGGATGGGTGGTTTAATGATTTTTACGAATAATGATATAATTGACATTATAAATTTTAATTCAGCAATAAATATATATATTTAAAATTGCATTAAAAATATAGAGGGTAAAATTGACATTACATTAATAATATATAATGGCCGATTTTTTGACAATATTAATTATACGAAGGGTATTTACGACAATACGTAAATGAGGAAAAAATTGATTTTATTTTTCTTTTTTTTTGTTTTTTGTTTCTTTCTTTTTTCTTTATTTATTTTCATTTTTTTTATTAGTTTCTTTTATTTTACTTTAGTTTTCTCATTTTTTCTCTAATTCGATCTTTTTAATTTAAAATAGTAATTTTATTGTAAATATTCTATTAATTATAATAACATTAAAGTGTTATTATATTACAAAGAATAGTTAAAAAATGAAAATATAATTAATAACCTAATAATAGCACAACATAATTTAAAAAATCAAATACTCAAATTTATAGATAAACACTTAAATATAACTATTACATAAATTATTATTATTATTATTATTATTATTATTATTATTATTATTATTATTATTATTATTATTATTATTATTATTATTATTATTATTATTATTATTATTATTATTATTATTATTATTATTATTATTATTATTATTATTATTATTATTATTATTATTATTATTATATGGTGAGAGTGGTGACGGAAAAAATGGAAGAAAGAGATTGATCGGCTGGACGAGAAATGGGTTGAGGTTGGGGTCGGGTGAGGGGGAGCCGCCCCCATCGACAGGAGATGCCCTAATGATTTTTTTTTTTTTTTTTTTTTTTTTTTCCGAATGTTAATAGCATTATATATTTATACAACACGAGTTTCCCCAATATTATCGTGAGAACTAGCTGGAAAAAATGGAGAAGGGCCTAATCCGGATTCTGGAGCTCGCTTCACAAACGGGAGTGGAAGCTGCAGAAATGGCTACGTATAGGCAAAGAGAACAAACAAGCTGAGCAAAGCTAAGGAGAGCTTCGGTCGATTTTTATCTACCTCTTATCTCGGCGAGGCATCAAGATTTCAACTCAAAGGGTCTAAGCGATCGAGTACGAGCTCGACAAGTTAGAGGTTTGGAACATGGTCTCAAGGTTAAGGTTTCGGGTTATGTTTGATTGAGATAGGATGCATTTTTAATAGATTTTGTGCTATGGTGTTGTAATAAAATAACTTGAAAACTTTCAAGTATTAAGAAATCATCTTCAAGTTCAATGTGATTCAGATGATTTTTGGGTCAGAAATCAATCTGTGTGTGAAAAAGGAAATAATGCACAAGGATTCATCCTTTGGCAAATTCATTCAAAAAATTGAAGTCTAAAGTTAGATTAAAAAAAGAAAAAAGAAAAAAAAAAAAAAAAAAAACGTTCCTCTTCTTCACTGTTCTATATTCTCCTAAATATTTTCCACTCTCGACTCTCACTCTCTCTCTCTCTCTCTCCACAAATCTAAAAAAAATCAATAATAAATGGCCGATCTTACCACAAGCGGGGAAGATGACAAGTCACCAAATCGATTCGACCCGTAATGAAATCACTCAACTCTACTGCCTCTTTCCACACTCCGCCGCCCTTTAAAACGAAAGTGGGGCCCCACTTGTGCGAAAAAATCATCTCTCTGATCTCTCTTGTGTTTCCTGGGATTCATATGAGCAATCCGTTGCTAAGACTATGAATCCAATAATATTACATAATATCAATCCCAATCCAAAATGATGTTTCTAATCCCACTTCATTTAATTACGATCTTTCCACTCGGTCGACTAGGATTAGTTAATCTCACTTAGTACTGCTTAGGTAACGCGTTTCTTGGGAATAATATTCTCATTTAGGGGGAAAAAAAAAGGCCGTAAATTCTATCTCCAAAAAGAATTGGTATATTATGTTATACCAAGAAGATAAGCTATGTACAATTTGCCATCGCCAAACAAGGGGTTAGTGATTTATGGTAAAATTACACATGATCAAGTGTACATTAGAATTAAACATAACATATGCACTAAAGTTAGGCAACCAAGAGATCTAAATTAGGCAATTACCAGCAAGCCAATATTGATCTATGAATCATTTAATTACGTAAGGCCGTAAAATCAACACACTCCCCACCCTAACTATCATTCATAGACAAAAGGGCTGCCATAAAATTGGCTTAACTTCAAATAAATACGTGAAAGATAATCTATGAAATACTTTACTATATATATATATATATATATATATATATATATATATATATATATATATATATATATATATATATATATATATATATATATATATATATATATATATATATATATATATATATATATATATATATATATATATATATATATATATATATATATATATATATATATATATATATATATATATATATATATATATATATATATATATATGATGCTCATTATAGCTGATCATTACAGATTAACTCCACAAATATCAATCAGTATAATGTACACATCAATCTTACTTGCTATGGTCGTTATGCACTTAACATTATTTCTCTGTTACGGGAAAATATTCCATGCAAGAAAGGAGAAGAGAACACCTACCAACTGGCCAGTTTTAGGCATGCTGCCAGGGGCGCTTGCGAACATTGGTAGGCCCCACGAGTATATAACCGAGGTTCTACAGCAGAATGGCGGCACGTTTTATCATAAAGGACCTTGGTTCACTAACTTGAACATTATGTTCACTTGTGATCCAGTTAATGTCCATTACATACAGGCAAAGAACTTTTCCAACTTCCAGAAAGGTCCGGAATTCAAGAAGATGTTCGATATCATGGGTGAAGGGATATTAACTGCAGAATCAGAATCATGGGAGAATCAGAGGAGAAGTGCAAAGTCGCTGATAAATAACACGAGTTTCTTAGAGTTTGTCGCAACAACTACCTCGAATAAGATGGAAACAGCACTAATCCCCATCCTGGAGGTTGCTTCGGAAACGGGATTGGAAGTCGATATGCAAGAACTGTTCGAGCGTTTGACCTTTGACTCTTCTTGCATCCTTGTTTTAGGACACGATCCGGTTTCTTTGTGTAAGGAGTTGCCTTATCTACCACATGAGAAAGCCTTTGTAGATGCTGAGGAAGCGATCTTTTACAGGCACGTGCTCCCCGAATTTACGTGGAAGCTGCAGAGTTGGCTTCGTATCGGCAAAGAGAATAAGATGAGCAAAGCTAAGGAGATCATTCCTCGGTTTTTATCTTATTGTATCTCGGCCAAGCATCAAAAACATGGAAATAATGATATTAATGGTTTGAACATGTTAACAAGCTACAACAATAGAGCGCTTGCAGAAAAGGGTGCTCTAAATGAACCTAATAATATCAATATTTCCGACGATGAAAAGGTCTGGAAAGATACATTGTTGAATTTAATGTTCGCAGGTAAAGGTACGATAAGCGCAGCTCTTACTTGGTTATTTTGGCTCCTGGCGACGAACCCTGAAGAAGAAGAAAAGATTAGACAAGAGATGCTAACAAATTTACATGTTGATAAATCATCGTCAAAATGGAAATTCGAAGACCTAAAGAAACTGAACTACCTTCACGGGGCTGTGTGCGAAACACTACGACTGTACCCAACAATAGCATTTCAATTCAAATCTACAGTCGAGCACGATATTCTCCCAAGTGGTCATGCGATAAACGCGAATACAAAGACGGTGCTATCACTCTACTCAATGGGGAGGATGGAATCTATTTGGGGCAAAGATTGCCTCAATTTTAAGCCGGGGAGATGGATTAATCCTGAAACGGGACGCATCAAAACTGAGCCCTCTTTCAAGTTTAGTGCTTTTAATTCAGGGCCTAGGAGCTGTTTGGGAAAGGAGATAACTTTCATACAGATGAAAATTGTTGCAGCTGCTATCATGAGCCGATTCCATTTTCGGGTGGCTCAAGGTCATTTGATATCGCCGAGTGCTTCAGTCGTGCTTCACATGAAACATGGACTCAAGGTTAAGGTTTCGGATTATGCTTGATTCAGATGAGACTGCTAATTTACAAATTTAAACCCTAGTTTTACTAGCTTTTATCATGTAAATAAACTTGTAATAAAACTTTTCAAGTACGAAAAGCAATTAATGCATAAGCATTTCCTAATTATCAGCCAATACTATGATAAAAATTAAAACACTCTTCTTCTTCTTCTATATCGCTTGTCTCCTTTCAGAATGATTGATTTCTTTTCTGGTGTACAACACTTTTTAGAAAATTAATCGAAATACACAAGGTAATTGTCGGATAATAATCAATTAAAAAATGTAGAATTATTTTAAAAACCGAATTGCTCACCCAAAATTCGATACAGATTGCAACGCGACGACGACAAATCATCTCGTTAATGGAGTCGAAGCCTCTGCATCCGAATCGACGAAACCCTAACCTATGAGCGATTCCAGAAGCAATAGCTGAAAGAAGAAGAGCTCATCATCAAAGAACCCTAATCGTCTCAATTGTTGGGATAAAACTTTGTTATGTTTTTAACTTTTTTATTTTTGGCGTAATTTAAAAATAGGGTAAATTCTAAGTGATATTGAGTCAAAGTACAAGTGGGCAAATCGATGCAATTGAGAGTAAAATGGGGTAAAGTAATATCGAACCAAAGTATAAGAAAAAAAGTGAAATTTAATCAAAAATAGGACAAATTACAACCACCTGACTTATGTTCAAATTACGAAAACCCCCTTCTGTTTGGTTAATTACAGAGGTTCCTAACTATATATTACTTACGAAAATATTCCTCCAAATAAACATATATAGGAGAACTTGTACTAATAAATTAAACATAACAATATATTTTTGTAGCACTTAAAATATTGCACGAGACATTTTTGCAATTAAAGTGATATAAAATTTATTTAGGATAACACAATCTATATTTTCTACCATTATCATTCGTTAGAAAAAGTTTGGTAGAAATTCGGTATAATTCACTAGGACAATTGGTCTATAGGGCAACTTGCAAAAAAATGATCATTATTTATACTTAATGTGATTTAAATTTCTTGCGTGATTTGCAAGTTATTACACGAAAATAATAAAGATTTACTCACTGCAAGGCTGCATCTATATAATGCATCTATATAGTTAGTTGCTTGGAGATTCCTACGTTAATAAAAAAAAAAAAACTATAGCATAATAAAGGTTGTTAAGTACTTTAAAATTATATATTTCTAATTTTACATTAAAAAAGAATAAAGAAATATAGCAAATATACATCAATTGAGAACTACATTTAAATAAAATATAATAATAATAAAAAAAATTAAAAAAAAATGAAAAACAAAGAAAGAGTGAGCTATTATAGCCTATACATAGGTGTGCAAGTTGGAACGGAAATTCCGATTTCCGCCGGTTCCGATCCGAAAAGTTCCGATTTTGGAACAACTTTTTTCATTCCGATTTCCGAAATTCCGATTTCCGATTTTTTCCGATTTTTTTGGATTGGAATTGGAATCATATAAAAGAAAATTGGAATTTCCGATTTCCGATCCGATTATTTCCGAAATTAATTCCGAAAAAATTCCGATTTTTTTCCAAAAAACAAACCGATTTTTTTCCAAAAAATACATCTTTGAGTAATATATATATATATATATATATATATATATATATATATATATATATATTATATTATATTATGCTTATTTTACATTATTTAGTTGTATTTATTCTTTATGGGCCATGTCACCTAAAAAAGCCCTAGTTTATTTTATGTAAAACCCTAGTTGTACGTTTAATATTTCTTGTGCAAAGCCGAAGAGTTTATTTAATTTTTGTTAGAAGTTTTATTGGATATTATGATGTCGTTTATTTTTTGAATTGAAATTTAGTAGTTATTTTTATCGACGTGAATATTTTTATTTTTAGCAAATTATGAAATTTTCAGCGAAGTTTCGAAATTTTAATACTTATGTCATTTCCGAAAAATTTCCGAAATTCCGAAATTTCCGGGCCTTTTGGAATTGGAATGAATTTTTAGATTCCGAAAATTTTGGAATTGGAATTGGAATTAATTTTGTACTTCCGAATTTTTTTGGAAATATTCCGAAAAGGCTAATTCCGATCCGATCCTTCCGACTTTCAGCCCTACCTATACATGATAAGAATTGGAGTTTATAATTGTTTAACTCAAAAGTTGAACTTCAAAATCCTAAATTAGGCAACCTATGAATCATCAAACTGTGTTAAAAGCTAATCAATACGACACCGTCCCTATCACTGTAGACAAAAGGGCTGCTGCTATTAAATTGGCGGCGTCAAATCGTAAATTAAAGCCACCCTTAAGATATGATAAAATTACAATAAAAAAAAAAAAAAAAAACTAATGTTCGGATAATTACAATAATCTTTCTCAACTATAAATTTTCTTACATGTCCACTCTTTCGATTTCAGATTTAGTGGAATTTTCTAGATTATATAGAACATTATCACTTTTGTACCCGTTTTATCCCATTCGAGCTCCACATTTTGAAGCAAGATGATCATAAGATGTGTTTTTTGACTTGTATATATCATATTGTAGTGCATCAGAAACTGTATTTTTACATAAAACGAGTACAAACTAGAGCACATTCCACGAAATCTAGATGATTATGTTGAATTTGACACCATAATAAGCGTGGAGGTGTAAGAAGATTCATATTTGAGGGGTAGATGTAATTATCCGAACAAGAGGGGTTTTTTCGTAATTTGACCATACATCAGGGTGGTGGTTGTAATTTACCCATAATTAAATGAATGCTTACCTAACAATACGTCACCATTTCTTCCATTTTTTCTACTTTTCTTTTTTTTTTTTCTATGAAATAATTTACTTTATATAGCCAAAGCATGGGGGCTTGCAAATATGTGATACATGAGCATTTAGACACACATCACATAATTATTATAAACAAACGAAATGTACACAGCAATAATATTACTTGTCATTTTTATCTACTTACCATATCACTTTTACAGAAATTATTTCCATGCAAGAAAGGACAAAAAAAGCTCACCGGCTCCTCCTCCGACCGACTGGCCGATTTTCGGCATGCTGCCGGGGCTGCTTCTAAACTGCGGGCGGGTCCACACGTTTATGACCGAGCTTCTCGAGAGCAGCGGCGGCACGTTTTATCTCAAAGGGGCTTGGTTTGCTAACATGAGCATGCTGATCACTAGTGATCCAGCCAACGTGCACTACATATTGGCCAAGAACTTTCCCAACTTCGAGAAAGGACCGCAGTTCAAGAAGATGTTCGATGTTCTCGGCGACGGAATATTCAACGCAGAATCAGAATCTTGGGAAATCCAAAAACGAACCGCGAAATCGCTGATGCACAACACGAGTTTCCCCGATTTTATCGCGAGAACTAGCTGGAGCAAAGTGGAGAATGCCCTAATCCCGATTCTGGAGCTCGCTTCGGAAACGGGGACGGAGGTCGATCTACAAGAGCTATTCCAGCGCTTCGCCTTCGATTGCTCTTGCATCACGGTTTTAGGACACGACCCTGTTTCTTTGTGTAAGGAGTTGCCTCATTTACCACACGAGAAAGCCTTTGCAGATGCCGAGCAAGCGGTCTTGTACAGGCACATGCTCCCCGAATTTACGTGGAAGCTGCAGAGTTGGCTTCATATCGGTAAAGAGAACGAGCTGACGAAAGCTAAGGACGTCATTCATCGGTTTGTGTCAGACTGTATCTCGATGAAGCATCAAGATTTCAACTTAACGGGTCCAAAGGACGACGGTCTCGACATGTTAACGAGTTGCATGAGAGCACGTGCAGACGAGGGTATCAATGCCGCACCGAATAATTATTCCGACGAGGTTTGGAAAGATACTCTCTTGAATTTAATCTTTGCAGGTAAAGATACAATTAGTGCAGCTCTCGCGTGGTTCTTCTGGCTCGTGGCGACGAACCCTGCGGAACAAGAAAAGATCAGACGAGAGATAGACGACACGAATTGGAGATTTACCACGATCGAGGAGTCGAAGAAACTGGTTTATCTTCACGGCGCACTTTGTGAAACTTTACGCCTTTTCCCACCGGTGCCGTTTCAACACAAAGCTCCGGTGGAGCACGATATTCTCCCGAGCGGACACAGAATCAGCCCGAATACAAAGACGGTTTTATCGTTCTACTCGATGGGGAGGATGGAATCTATTTGGGGCAACGATTGCCTCGATTTTAAGCCGGGGAGATGGATTGATCCCGAAACGGGACGCGTCAGAACCGAACCGTCTTTCAAATTTACGGCTTTTAATGCGGGACCGAGGAGCTGTTTGGGGAAGGATGTGTCTTTCATACAGTTGAAAATTGTTGCAGCCGCTATCGTGAGCCGGTTCAATATTCGGGTGGCTCGAGGTTTTTCGGTTACGCCGAGCATTTCAGTCATACTTCACATGAAACATGGTCTCAAGGTTAAGGTTTCGGATTTTGCTTAACTAGTACTTTACTCGTGCGACGCACGAGTTTTTAATGTTTTAGATTAAGTAATCGAATAAAGACTTTCAAAAGTTGATATATAATACGATATAATTCAACAAAATCACATAAAAATGAGGGTCTAACACTTAAAAAAGGAGTAGTATATAGAATTTGATCTCAAGAACCAACAATTTTTTTCATCTTCCTTCTTGTCCAACGCCACGAATCATGGGCTCGGAAGCACAAATCGGAGAGTCGTAATTTGGAGGGGTACCGGCGGTCAAAGTTGTGGTCAACGACGACGATGCATTGCCACTCGTGTCCATAGCGAAACTAGTGCTCGTCGTATCGCTGAAGTTCCATTCGGTCAAATATCCAGGCTTGGAAACCACAGTGGGGACCACAGCATCTCCGGCAATCATCGCCACCACACGGGACATGGATGGGCGGGCCCCGGGGGATGTTTGGCTACACAAGAGCGCTACTCCGATCATCCTTCGTACTTCTTCCTCGTCGAATTCTGATAAATTTTCGTCCACCACCTCAATTTCCCTCTTCTTTTCATGACAATCCCAAGCCTAGACAACAATTAATTCATTAATTGTACATGATCTAATCATTTATTTAAGAGAAAGTACAAAAAGATATTGAGAGTTTATTGCATTTAGTCAATTAGAGAAAATATAGGGGTGCCGAATGCAATAAAGCCCGAAAAAAAAACGAACATACCCATTCAAGTAGGTAGATCCTATCTTGATCGAGACTTGAGTCGGCGTTTGCTCTTCCACTAATAATTTCTAGAGCTACGACTCCAAACCCGAACACGTCGACTTTCTCCGTAAGGTGACCCCTCATAGCATATTCCGGCGCAAGATACCCGCTACATATATATGAGCAAATTAAACGTAGAATAAACATTATTGTTTAATTACTAATGTTGAATTAAAATGAGAAAAATCCGAAAACTAGAATTTTGATGGATCTTAATTACATTGTTCCGGCGACGCGTGTGCTTATATGCGTGTCTCTGTCGTTGTACAATTTGGCCAACCCGAAATCGGAAATCTTCGGATTAAATTTCGAGTCGAGTAAAATATTGCTCGCCTTCACATCTCTATGCACGATTCTAAGCCGAGATTCCTCATGTAGATAAGCTAGCCCTCTTGCCACTCCTAAGCATATATCGAAACGCGTGGGCCAGTCGAGCCGGGGACTCTTAATTCTTCCTGCACCATTATATAAGAAGCAAAAAAAAATATGATTACTCAAAATTAAAATTCTTTAATTAGACATGCATGCACAATCTTATTAATTAATTGATTGATTTAATATACCGAACAACGCTTGATCCAGACTCTTATTTTCGAGATACTCGTAAACGAGCAAACGTTTGTCTCCCTCGATGCAACACCCGTACAATTTTACGAGGTTACGATGCAACACACTCGATATTGTTATAATCTCCGCCACAAACTGGTTTTTGCCTTGACGTGATGCTACCGATAATTTCTTCACCGCAACTTCTCTTCCATCCTCCAGTCTTCCCTTTTTCATTGCAAAAATAAAAAAATAAATAAAAAATAAAAATTATTTGTTAATTAGAAAAGAACAAAAAAACATATATATAATATATTATTATACCTTGTAAACAGGTCCGAATCCTCCCTCTCCAAGCTTGTTAGCAGTACTAAAGTCATCGGTCGCCGATCGAAGTTCCGCGTAACTGTAAGTGTACGGTCTAGTTTCGACCCCCGACAGCTCTGCAGAATTAATCAACACAGAAATAATTGGTATTCGATTTTTACGCAGATAAAATGAAAAATGTATGATTAAACGTTACCTTCGTCTTCGTATTTCTTCTGCCTTTTTCGTTTCTGGATCGAATAATAAACAGCAAACAACGAGAGGAAGATTACAGCTCCGATAGAAACAACAACCCCCACGATCATGCCGGTCCTATTCTTCTTACCGGCAGGTTCGTTTGGAGGGTTGTTACTTACTGTCGGGACGAAATCTATACGAAAAATAATTAATTTAATTTGGTATTAAAATAGTAAAAAAAAATATATCAAAGTTATGGATATCATGTGAAAATTGTACCTCCAGGTGTGACACTTATGGCTGAAATCGAAGGCCCGTATGTACCTTGGGCTGGCACGCAACAAGTCCCTTTTCCCGCCCAAAACAAATGGATTTCGAGATGATTTTCCGTCACACGTGCGGTGAAATCCTTCACCACCGCTCTTAGTGAAGCTCCGGCCTCTTTTCGTATGTCGAAATCTTTCTCCGCCAAATTTCCCTGCACCGTAAAAGCTCGATCGATAATCGAGTTTCGTAGTTCTTTTAGAAAAAAAAATAGAATAAAACCTGAATGTATATATCGAAGACGCGCCTTCCGTGGCTCTTCCAAGAAGTGGGATCTTCGATTTTATTCTCGACGAATTGGAGGGTGACATTGTAGCCACCATTCTCGAGGGCTAATCCGTAATATCTCAACGAACCAGCGGAAACACGTGCGGTTTGGAAAAGCTCCGGATCTCTTGTGTTCGGAATGTACGTCAAGAAATTATTCGTATATTCTGGATTTCTGCTACCAGATGGGAGACCGCTATTACTAACGGCCCATCTTCGTTCTTTCGTCACGTAATATGCTGACGGTCCGAGAGTGCCGTTATCTGCCTCGTGCACGATTCCGGTAGCAGATCTCATTTGTGGGCCACCACATTTCACCGCGAAGCTCGAATCTGCATGCAATTATGAATTGTATTAAAAGTAAATTATAGCAAATAGCACCACTAATATTATGGGGTAAAAAATCGGGGATTTGCATGCATACACAGGGGATTTCGTCTGTTGCAAGGGAAGTTTCGTTGAAGGCAATTCAATCCTGATGCAAGAACACTTGAATTCGAATCTTCGATCGTGAAATTGTTAGCGACCAAATTACTGCAATAAAATGTTATGTGTGTTTGGTTTTAAAAAAGAAAAAAAATATTAGATAAACAAGATAATTCGGAAAAAGTCATGCATACATACAGTTGAAGATTTTGCTGGTCAGTCCAAGAAGGGAAGCTTCCGGATAATTCGTTGTACGACAAATCTCTGTAACCAGACGTAATAATTAGGACGTTAATTAATTGCGTCATTAATCACTGTGATCCATAAAAAAAGTCGTGTTTACGAAGACGCAACTCACATAAACTGAAGGAGTGAAGTCTTTTGTGATGGCAGAGAACCGGTCAATTTATTGTTGCCGAGAAACCTGATAAGTTTGTCGTTAGTAACGAAGAAGCAGTGTCGAAAAATTAATAAGCATTAAATCTATTACAAGTGAACGAGGGAACTCGAGTTGAAAAGGGAATCAGGAATTTGTCCGGTGAAGTTGTTGAAGCTCAAATCCCTGACAATTCAAAAAAAAATTATGTATATATAAACTGACTAACCTATAAAAACGGACAAGATATTACGGAGAATATTATTACAGTAAAGATAAACTTGGATATCCGTCGAGGTTTGAAGGGACAGAGCCGGAAATGTTGTTATTCCTCAAAACTCTGCAAAAAATACGAGCTCGATTTTTGCTGAGAAGAACAACAAAATAGTAATAAAAATAAATAAACGTTACGGTTATTACTTACAACGTTGTCAAAGACTTCATATTTGTGAGAAAGTCTAGTGGGGAGCTCCCGTTAGATAAATCAGTTATTCTCCTACGATCATAATCGATATTAAGAAGATTAATTATTCGAAACAATATATCGAACACTGAAAATATTACAGAGAAGTGGTGAGCACTTACAGATCAGTCAAAGCCGTTAAATTGGAAAACATCGATGGTATCGGCCCCTGTAGTGACGTTCCTTCGAATCTTCTGTAGATGTATTAAATTAAATTGGATTAAAATAAAATAAAAATAGATAAATACTTTCTTGCATGAAATGGATCGATGTAATAATTAGCTCACAAGGCAGTTAACTGTGACCAACTGCCAATGAAGTCGGGTATCCGGCCTGTGAGCGCATTGTCTGAAGCAAATCTAGAAAACCCCGGAAAATTTTATTCAAAATCTGAAATAGTAACAATAATAAATAAAATAAAATAAAAACGAATCTTGTCGTATAGCTCGTACACAATCTGCATATTCTGTAGCCTAGCGAATGTCGAAGGAATTGCACCACTAACCCCAGAGCTATCGATCCAACTGGCAGTGTTCGAAAAAAAAAATCAATATAAATTTTACAGAATAATTTCATTACGAAGGATACGTACGTACACATGCAAAAGAACTTACAGTTGTTCTAGCCTTGTACAGTTTCCAATCTCGGGTGGTAAGCTACCGGAGAAGTTGTTGGTACTAACAGCCCTGCCAATGCACAAGCAAAATATCAACAATGCCCTTAATTAATTCTATATATATTTTTAAGGGAAGAATAAAAATCACATGCAAAAAATATGATTACAACCAAATTTGCTCTTCTTACAGTGATCTTAAATCAGTTAACTTGCCGAGTTCGTTGGGAAGCTCCCCCGACAACGCGTTGATGCTGATGCTCCTGTGGCATTTAATTTTCAAATTTCAAACATAATTTTTTAGTAATTTTTTGTTCGGGTTTCGGTTTCGGTTTTAAACTTACAGATACTGCATTCGAGTTAGGTTGCCAACGGATGAAGGCAAGGGACCTGTTAAATAATTTTGAGCCAAGTTTCTGCAAGTAAAACGGAGGGGCCAATCGGTAAATAAATTATTTCGAAAATAGGAAATCATATTCTTGAAGCAATGCAATAAAAGGAAAATTTATTCATACAAAGAAGTGAGATAAGTCAAACTCCAGAGCTCGCGCGGGAGCTGACCGACAACGTTGGACGATGAATCCCAATCCGACATCGAATATACCCTTCTGTAAGTAAATAAAAATTAAATTTAGAATTATATATAAATACATATACATTGTAATATATGTCTAATAATTAAACTTATCGTACAAAGAAATGACATGGCAAGTGGTCCTATTGTTGTAAGAGCAATCGCATTTGATTCCAGGACTAAAGTCGAGGGTGGTGACGTCATCGCTTGCGATTCCGCTGCATAATTCTCCGCTTATGTTCCATCCATTCCCGGCCTTAATCCGCCATCGCGCGAATATTGCGTTTATAGCTCTTGCTGCATATGGCGACGCCGGATTAATTTTTATTTTTAAAAAAAATGTTAATAAACATATACAGTTAAACCTCTATAAATTAATACTGTTGGGACCATCAAAATTTCATTAATTTAGCGAAATATTAACTTATCGATAAATTAATAATTATTAATTTATATGAAATTACTTTTATTATTATTTTCAATAAATACATTTTTTTATTTTTTTTTACGTGTATATTATTCATTGTACCATTAGATCAATGCATTATAGAGCCCGTTTCTCGAACGGAAGCTCTTAAAGCAACAATGGTATAGAACGATTTTATGTTGAGTTATGACAAAACAATACCGAAAGTTCTAACCATGTTAAGAAAAGTGAGGGATGAGATTGATGGTAATGTGAACTTCAAGAAGAAACAAACAACAATTAAATTATATTGTATTACGCTTTCATAGATCTATAAAATATGTACAATACCAAGTAATTTAAGAATTATTTTTATGCATTATTAATTTATATATTATATGGGGCTTCTTAAATTTTTCGAATGTGTATTATCTTATAAATTTAGCGAATTATTAATTTAGCACGTTGTCCCCGAGTCGAGACCGGGAAAATTTATTATTTAAGCGAGGTTATTAATTTATCGGGTATTAATTTATCGAGGTTCTACTGTATAATTGAGTTTGTTCTATACTATAATCGGTGAAGTACTTCAACCAATTATATATATTATTATACACGTATATAGGTTCATACGTATTTTATCTACACACATTCGCATGTATATGTGTGTGTAATTGTGTTTAAATTAATAAAAAAATGTATCCGGCTCAGTGTAGCATTTAAACAACTGCAAGAAACATCACCTAATTAATAATTAATTACTTGGCACATGTGGTTACACTAAAGGTTTCTCTATTTTTTTAAACATATAAAATATTAACGGTTAATAGCACTTAGCCCCCTGTGGTTTGAGCGTTGTGCACATAACTCCCTTATATTTTTCATATACCACATGACCTTCTTGTAATTTCAAAAAAAAAAAAAAAATCCTAATGAGCATGATTATTTACCGAGCGGCATACCATGAGGGGATTGTGTGCTTATATTAGAAGTTCAAGGGTTTCATCTGTACAAAGTTCAAACTACAGGGGGTCATGTGCCTATATCGAAAATACAAGAGGGTCATATGCATACAAGCTCAAACCACAGGGGTCAAAGTGTTATTTATCCAAATGTTAATACTCGATGTAGATAGTTACACACGCACAGAGATAATTTATACACACACAGAGAGACGAAGATGCGCACCTTCAGAAGGATCTGTGACGGGGGTGGTGGCATTTCTCTGCGGCTGAGCTAGAGACAACCCATAAACTCCGGCGGATAATACCAAGAAAATCTCTAAAATCTGCAGTCTACGCGGCGGCGCCGCCTTCATCATTGATTATATACGAGAGTGAAAAATTCAACCAAACAGAGGAAATTAGAGAGAGAGAGAGAGAGAGGGGGTATATATATATATATATATATGTATATTAGTAAACAAAAAAAAAATAGGTGATAGAATCAACTTTCATTTGTATTTTTAGTAAATGGTTGTCGCCATTGAAGCAGTCGTTCAATCACACTGTTGTGTTTACCATACATATATATATATATGTTGCAAAAATAGACTGTCGGCTTAGTTTTCTTGGGTCAACGGTCAACCTTTTTTTTTTCTTTTCTTTTTTCTCTACCCTCTACCACTTTTCATTGTCACTTTACATTTTGATTTTTGGGATAATTAGCAAGATCTTAATTTGGCAAATTAATAGAGAGAACCTCATTTTTATTTATTTTTTACTAATTTGAGAGAACTCCTTAGGTTATAATAGTCTTACTAGTTTTTAGATCTATTATTTTAATAATTCACTGAATAAAATTTAATTGTTTTTCATTCCACGGTTAACTAATATGCAATCTCACAACTCACGTAAATCGCATCCCAAAATATCTTCCACAGTCGATCTTTCGATTCTCTTTTTTTTTTCTTTAATTTCTGAAGCAAATTGATGTGGACGTTTGAATTGCTCGATGGCGATTCTCGTCGGACTTCATAGGAATTTTCGGCGAGGAGTTACTGCGCAATCGCTGTGAGTATTAGGTGGAATTATTTCCTATTACATTTTTTAAGGGAATCTTTCTCAATGCGAAGGGTGGAATTAGGTTGTGAAATTGTCAAATAGTGAAATTAGAGATATGTAAGAAGAGCCACTAGATTTTTATAGTCATGGGCTTAAAGTAAATGCTACTCAAGTTTGGGCTTAAATTGATTATTGGGCTTAAATTGATTATTGGGCTTAAAATGATTAATGGGCTTAAAGTAAATGGCATTCAAATTGAACTCTTATCATTTTTATTTTTTTCAAGAATTTAGCATTTATTAAAAATCGTCTAATACTTTCCTAAAAACAACAAATAACAATAATAAAAAAAAGGGTAAATTCCACTTTACCCCCTTGTACTCTGCCTGAGAGTCACTTTACCCCCTCGTACTCTCAATTTTATCGATTTACCCCCTTGTACTTGTACAATTTCCCAATACAGCCCTTCCCTTCAATTTTTGTCAATTTTGACTCTAATGCCATTTGGTCAACTCTGTAAATTACAAAATTGCCACTACCTATAACACGTCGTTTCTTCTCCGTCAATATTGTCATTTCTTCTTCTCCCACCACTTCCCCTTCCAAGATATCCCCAAATTAAACCGCTAACTTAGTAAAAATCAAGCCCCGAAAATTGATCGATTCCACCCAGTGCAAAGAAAAAAATATATGAATGTGTGAAACTTTCTCTTTTCTAATCTCGAGAGTCAAAATCGAAAAAATTCAATATTTACGTCAATATTTTGACTCTTGACCAAATGGCGTCAGAGTCAAAATCGAAAAAAGTTGACGAAGAGGGTTGTATTGGGAAATTGTACAAGTACAAGGGGGTAAATCGACGAAATTAAGAGTACGAGGGGGTAAAGCGGTTCTTGGGCAGAGTACAAGGGGGTAAAGTGGAATTTACCCTAAAAAAAATGGCTCTTAAAGTTGTGTGAGGGCAGAATGGATGTACGGCCTTTGAGATTTAGAGGGTGTTTGGCTAAGCTTATTTTAAACAGCTGATGAGCTCTTACGTCTGATAAGATGTTTTAAGAGCTGATAAGCTGTTACATCTTACTTTAATAATTAATTTTTAAAGTGTTTGGATAATAAGCTTATTTTTTATTTTTACTCATTATAAGATCTTAAATAAAAAGGTGGGGTGCATGTACTTATTTAAAAAGATCTTATTTGCTCTCCAACAGCTTATTATTAAAAAAAAAATCCAAAAATTTACCAAACACTTTAGAAGAGCTTATAAGCTCTAAATCATCTTATAATAAGCTTCTTTTAACATCTTATGAGCTTAGCCAAACACCCTCTTAGTAATGTTTGAAAGTGGTTTTGAATTTTGATTCTAAACAGACTTATAATTTGCATTCCAGCAACCAATCAATTACAAATCCATTCGTAGAGTACAAAGTTGTAATATTCTAATCATTTAATAATTACTAATTGTCCATATTTCTGGATAAATTAAAGACACAAAAAATTATGAATAAATAAAATAAAAAATATGGATAACCCCCCCCCCCCCCCTGATAAGAATATTAAAACTACGGACTATGCGACTGGAATTGTCAGGGGTCGGTTCACTAACTCCACAAGGATAGGTCTAGAACGCGGGATCCCCACCTTCCAGTTTAGCATTCCCCAACATACACCGCTACCTGATTTATAACAAAAAAAAAAATAGAAAGTTCAAGAGGGATGGGAAGTTGGGAACAGTCTTATTGTGCTTGCTAAACACCATATCTTGCATGAACTTTACCATGGAGACAACCGTTC